TTTGAATTATCGATGAACATTCAGTCCATTTTTATTCAAGCTGTAAGCTAATCAAAATAGAAGTAACTCAAAATTTCAAAAGCATCTTCCTAGAATTAGTATTCAAACACTAGTACTACATTGTATCTAGGAGTAGAACACACATCCTATAGTTAGATAGTCTGTCCAACTTCCGGTTTGAGGTCGATGCCTTAGGAAAGTATTTTGCTATAGCAAGCTATAGCAAACTTTCCAAAAACTAATAATTCAATTTGAATTTTAATAAAAATTGGGTGCGAACGTGTAGGGTGCGAACGGACCTAAGAGGCGAACGTGTGGGGTGCGAATGCAGGGGTTAAAAAATCCACTAGCTTCTGTACATGTAGCTTCTAGATTCTGTACATGTTTTAAAAATAATACAACTAACTCTTGGTGGACCAGCATCGTGTATTGATCACAATTCTCGTACTTTCAATATTGATTTCTCAGTACAGAAGGTATAGTACATTGCTTATTCCGAGATTTTCAATTAACGGCACTGGGGGCTGTATGATGCATTGATCGATATTGACCTGTCTTGTCGGACAGCTGTTGAGCACGAAACAATGCAACAAAATATTTCTAAATATTTTAGTACGGGCACCCCAGGAACTTTGTCAGTTTCAAAACGAAAAAACGGTAGACGAAGAGGGTAATGAGGCTGAAAATTCATCCCCAAAAAAATGCCAAATACGCCCTGGAAAAGCAGAAAAGAACATTTAAAGTGTCATGAACAGAAAGATTCCCTTGGTCAAGGTCGTCTGTTGCTGATGATAAACCAGAGACGATGTTTTGTAAATATTGCCGTTATTTTTCCGACCACGCTAATAAAGTCTGCTTTGTATGTGGGAACAACAAATATATCTGAATTGAACCACTGGTTTCACATGACAGATCCAATGAACATGTTTTCTGTGGCCGAAAATATTGAACAACCCATAGTACAACAGAAATCCAAAGAGATGTCTAAAGATCCTTGTCATAATTAATAAAACAAACATATATTTGATTTATTTTATTAAATACCGTGTATAATGCCGCTTTCAAAACAAGGGACACCCACTTTGTATTATGCAGCAAACTCTGAATTTGTAAGGTATACTCGGGCTAGCAGGTAGTTTTGATGGGATAGAAGCTCTTTCAACAGGGCTAGTAAAATCCTGCTCCCAACAAGTCCTGGGCTAGTGAGCTGTAACAAAATTTTTTAACTAACCCCTGGAACGTGTAGGGTGCGAAAGTGTATTGGGCGCTAACGGACCTGATACCTGGTGGCCTTGGGTTGACTTGTATATTTTGGCTGGGTTGTCTCTTTGACACATTCCCCGTTTCCATTCTTTATTCTATACATGTAGCTGTCAAATATACTTTTGTAAAAGAGACAAAAGACCAAGTATGGGAATATGTAACTTCTCTCTGAAAAAACGGGTTAATCATACAAAAAATACCAGGACCCTTCCTCATGTAGTGTATAACTAAGTTCGGGTACATGTATGCTTTGATTATTAAATGCAAAGTAAACCGGAAAATTCTGTTTAAAAAATCAGACGACATGAACATTTACATATACGACCGTTTATATAAATATAATTCTTAAGAAATAAGAGAAACATAATCTATTTGTAACTCACAACTCGACCTTCGTAACTCGCAACTCGACCTTCATAACTCGGACGGAACTCGACTTTCGTAACTCACAACTCGACTTTCGTAACTTACAACTCGACAATAAGAACCCCTCTCCAGGAGGATAGTTGTCATGGTAGCAACTATAAACAAATCGAGCTGCTCGTCTCTGTACCTGCTCTATGTCACGTATGATGGTAATTTGGTGAGGATCCCATACTGGGGAAGCATATTGCAGAGTTGGTCTTACTAACGTGGAGTAAGCTGTGGCTTTTGTTGCTGGAGTACACCTACCCAGGGTTGTCAATGATATTATATTTCACTGGACCACCTGGGACCAACATTTCAACTTGCACGTTTTATTTTAACATACTTCTTTGTGTATTCACAACATATTGTATATGCATCTTTGAGTATAATCGACAAAAACCGTCTATTTTTACCATTTCCTTTCACAATCGTAACAGGAAACATACTTTGACAGGCGGCGGGAACTAATATCTATATACGCATAATATACAACTCGTTTCAGGACTTGTTTCCGGAATTTTTTATGATAAAATTATAATTCAGACAGCTGGGACTAGCAGACAGGTTCCAGTCGTACCGGTTGATCCAGGGATACGTAGAGGACGTACGCTGCACTTTGATCTTCAAAAAGTTTCTCATTGTTTCTCACGATTTAAATGATTTTTTTAACAAAAAATCGTTAAAAAAAGTTCCGCTCTAATACACCTTATCGCTTTTTGTCTGTCATTACTGGACATCATATTCCCGTAAAAATTTTGACGTGACAATAGAAAATGTCTAGCGCCACAAAGGTAACGTGATTGTTGTATGACGTCAACAGTTCAAGTCAGTGGCGGATCCAAAGGGGGGGGGGGGGGGGGGGGGGTTTCCGGCCCGGGGGTTGGAATCCCCCTTTTTTTTGACGATCAATGCATTTGAATGGGGACATATAGTTGGAAACCCCCTTTTTATCCTGGGTTGGGAACCCCTCTATTAAAAATGGCTCAGTGGATCAGCACCTGCAAGTGTCGCAGATTCCTAAGTAGCGATAGGGTCTATTTCCGCTCGTCGGTAGTAGATAGATTCCGTTTTCTGAAATAACGCCGCCCCCTCTTTTGAAAAATCCTGGGCCCGCTCCGAGTCTTGTATATTGACTGCTCCATAGTCTTATATGGTAAACAAAAAGACTGCATAGAAACAATTTTCCTTTTACAATTCGTAATGGGACTTTCCGTTGAATATATGAAAAGCCGGGGTGATTATACCTTGTCAAAGACCCCCTAAGAAAAAGTTCAGGCACATTTCAATCTCTCACATGCCTTGTTTTAAACCCCTCAAATGCCAAATTGTGCCAGCAATTCCTCAATTTTACATATTAAGACAACAAAAAACCATCAGAAACAAAAATGGGCACACTTCAGAGGTATATTATTAGCCAATCGGGGCTAAGAAATGACTCAGTTTGATATCCCTCGGAAAAATACATCCACCCCTTTAAAGATATAAAATGATTCTGAATTGTCCAATGTACTAGTACTAAATATGATCATGTGAACAGTTTTCTAGTAAGAAAACGAAAAATGTTGCATACCAACAAATGACTTGCTTTGCAGTATGAAGATCACATAGACAAAATGAAGAAAAAAATCTGACATTTGGTTGTCAATCGGCAATACTTATACATACAAATAAATTATAAGTGACCGCTGTCGATAATAAACTAGCAATTGATTGTTAATCGTAAAAAAAAATGTTGTTTGTAGTAAATTTATTGAAGTATTACACAGAAAAACACAAAAAATAATTACAATTAAAAGAAAACAAAAAAAATCGGATTTTGAAATAAGGGGGAGGGCAAAAAAATGTCCTGTCTATAAGTTCAATGACACTCCGGAAGGCGCCTGCTACTATGTCATGTCAATGTTGTTTACTTTTTCAATAAGTTTTAATAAACAATGTTTAACTATACCTCAGAAAAGACGAATGATTTGTGTCGAACGTTTTATTTGTTGTTTTAGTGTAGGTGTTGTCATGCAGAGAAAATAAATCAATAAAAGAGAGGAGAAAGATACCAGAGGGACATTCAAACTCATAAGTTGAAAACAAACTGACAACGCCATGCATGGCTAAAAAAGAAAAAGACCAACAGACAAATAATAGTACACAAAACACGACATAGAAAACTAAAGACAACACGAACCCCACAAAAAACTGGGGATGATCTCGGGAGCTCCGGAAGGGTAAGCAGATCCTGCTCCACATGTGTCACCCGTCGTGTTGCTCATGTTAGTACAAATCAGGTAATAAGTCTAATTCGGTAGGTCACATTCAGGAAAATAATTTATGTCTAGGCCACATGACTGGATCATTCAAATGGTATAACCAATGGTACATTTGCGTGTACAATGAATAAGGAAGTTATGTTTAATTCTTTGTTAGATGGACCTTTAAATAGATTTACCTTTGTTAGCTGTCCATTGAAAGAGCACAAAGAGCACTGATAGCTATGACAAATCATTTACGGGGCGATAAACAAAGACGATTGAAAAACCTGTAAGACTTGTTTATAAGTTTATTTTAAACTAGTAAATATGTGCATCTTACAAGGCTTAGCAATAATAAAATTAAGAATGGAAATGGGGAATGTGTCAAAGAGACAACAACCCGACCACAGAACAGACAACAGCAGAAGGCCACCAACAGGTCTTCAATGCAGCGAGAAATTCCCGCACCCGGAGGCGTCCTTCAGCTGGCCCCTAAACAAATATATATACTAGTTCAGTGATAATTAGCAAGTTTGTATTATGAAGTCCAGCTTTTCTATTTAGTTTACTATGAATTGAATTAAAAAACTTGGTAATATAGTAACTTGAAAAGTTGTCTTCTTATATTTCAGAATGAGGTCCTCAAAGGGGGCATATATACGTGAAACATATGATATCTTTCACCAGTGGCAGATCCAAAACTTTCATAAAGGGAGGAAGATACGGAGGAGTATATTAAAAAAGTAGGCTGTCAAAAATTTAAAAAAAAGAACTAAAAACATATTTTTCAACATAAGATGCATCCCTGATATGCCCCGCCCATGTTCACGAAAATCTACAATATTATTTTCTTCTGCTAAAGGTCATTTAATGTAACATACAAATATAGATTTTACGATACTACTGTCTGAATAATGAAAAGTAAAATAACAAAAATACCGAACTCCATGGAAAATTCAAATCGGAAAGTCCCTTATCACTGAATGGCAAAATCAAAAGCTCAAACCCATCAAACAAATGGAAAACAACTGTCATTTTATATATAGTATACATATATATATATTTAACAGAACTAACTAAAATTACCTTTTTGGTTAAAAAGAATTTCCATTTTCGTTTCCTTTATAAACATTACCGATTGTCGACAAGTCATTTCTACATACGGGTATCTAGTATGTAATACAATACCAATCAATGCAATGCAATATATGTTTATTGAACCGATAATAAAAGATCAACTTTAATAGAGTTTTGTACGAAAAAGTATTAGCGCCATGCAACCTTTTTTTGTGTTTCTTCCTATGTTAGCGTTATAACGTGAACCTTTGCGAAATGACACAAACATTTGAGTCATTTCTTATTTAAATTTCAAGGGAAGGAGTTGTTAAGAATGGAGGGAGCAGTGGGAGGAAGCTGCATGCATTAATTTTGATCACTCTTTTAACTTATCTCAAAGTGAAAGGCTGGAGTGTTAAGCACATACTCATGGCATAATAATGAGAGAATAAAGAAAACTGAGTAAATTGAAGTTGTATCGAAAAAAAATTGAAAACCTATTATTCTCTGAGAAACCCATTTTTCTCTGTTCTTCATATTTTAGCAACCCATTATTCTCTATTCTTTATTTTTTTGGTCTGAGTAGTATGGGTTCGTTGATCTTAGTAATATGGGCCCGTTTATCTGTGTAATATGGGTCCAATGATCTGATTAATAATGGTTTGATGATCTGAGTAGAATGGTTCCGAAAAACAGAGTATCCGATCAACAGAGTAGCATTGTTCCAATGATCTGGGTAGATGTCCGTTGAGATGAGTATATGCCCGTTGAGATGAGTAGTACGGGTCTGTTGATCTTAGTAGTATGTGTCCGTTTATCTAAGTAATATGGGTCCGTTGATATGTGTAGCATGGGTCCAATGATCTGAGTAGATGTCCTTTGAGATGAGAATATGCCCGTTAAGATGTGTAGTTATGGGTCCGTTGGTCTTAGTAGTTTGGGTCCATTGATATGAATAGTATGGGTATGTTGATCTGAGAGCTATAGGTAAAAAAACTCTGAGTAGTATGGGTCCTTTGGTCTGAGAAGTATGGGTTAAACACTGAGTAGTATGGGTTCTTTGGTCTCAGAAGTATAGGTTAAAACACTGAGTAGTATGGGTCCTTTGGTCTGTAAAGTATAGGTTTAAACACTGAGTAGTATGGGTCCTTTGGTCTGAGAAGTATAGGTTTAAACACTGATTGGTATGGGTCCTTTGGTCTGAGAAGTATGGGTTAAAACACTGAGTAGTATGGGTCCTTTGGTCTGAGAAGTATGGGTAAAAACCCTGAGTAGTATGGGTCCTTTGGTCTGAGAAGTATAGGTTAAAACCCTGAGTAGTATCATTAGTATGGGTCCTTTGGTCTGAAAAGTATGGGTTAAAACACTGAGTAATATGGGTCCTTTGATCTGAGAAGTATGGGTTAAAACACTGAGTAGTATGGGTCCTTTGGTCTGAGTAGTATAGGTCCTTTGGTCTGAGAAGTATAGATTAAAACATTGAGTAGTATGGGTCCTTTGGTATGAGAAGTATAGATTAAAACATTGAGTAGTATGGGTCCTTTGATCTGAGAAGTATGGGTCCGTTGGTCTTGGTAGTATGGGTCCGTTGATTTGAGCAGTATGGGTCCGTTGATCGGAGTAGTATGGGTCCGTTGATCGAAGTAGATGGTCTATTGAATAGGGTAATATGGGTCCGTTGATCTCAGTAGTAAAGGCCCGTTGATCTGAGTAGCATGGGTCTGCTGCTCTTAGTAGTGTGGGTCCGATGATCTGAGAAGTATGGACCCGTTGCTCTAGTAGTATCGTTTCTTTAGTCTGAGTGGTCCGTTGATCTGAGTAGTATGTGACTATAAATCTGAGTAGTATGGGTATGTTGATCTGAGTTGTATGGGTTTGTTAGTCTGAGTAGTACTGGTCCAATTATTTTAGTAGTATGAGTCCGTTGATTCGAGTAGTAGTATGGGTCCGTTGATCTGAGTAGTATTGATCCGTTGATTTGAGTAATATGGGTCCGTTGATCTGAGTAGTACATTTATGGGTAAGTTGATATGTGTAGCATGGTCTCAATGATCTGAATAGCATGGGTCGAATGATCTGAGTAGTTTTGGTTCGTTGATCTGTGTAGTATGGGTCCAATGATCTGAATAGCATGGGTCGAATGATCTGAGTAGTTTTGGTTCGTTGATCTGTGTAGTATGGGTCCAATGATCTGAGTATTATGGATCCAATGATCTGAGTAGAATGGTCCGTTGATCTTAGTAATATGTGTCCGTTTATCTAAGTAATTTGGGTCCGTTGATATATGTAGCATGGGTCCAATGATCTGAGTAGATGTCCTTTGAGATGAGAATATGCCCGTTAAGATGTGTAGTTATGGTTCCGTTGGTCTTAGTAGTTTGGGTCCATTGATGTGAATAGTATGGGTATGTTGATCTGAGAGCTATAGGTAAAAAAACTCTGAGTAGTATGGGTTAAAACACTGAGTAGTATCATTAGTATGGGTCCTTTGGTCTGAGAAGTATGGGTTAAAACACTGAGTAGTATGGGTCCGTTGGTCTGAGTAGTATGGGTCCGTTGGTCTGAGTAGTATGGGTCCGTTGGTCTGAGTAGTATGGGTCCTTTGGTCTGAGAAGTATGGGTTAAAACACTGAGTAGTATGGGTCCGTTGGTCTGAGTAGTATGGGTCCGTTGGTCTGAGTAGTATGGGTCCGTTGGTCTGAGTAGTATGGGTCCTTTGGTCTGAGAAGTATGGGTTAAACACTGAGTAGTATGGGTCCGTTGGTCTGAGTAGTATAGGTTCTTTGGTCTTAGTAGGTTGAGTACATTGATATGATTAGTATGGGTCCGTTAATCTGAGAAGCATGGATAAAAACCCAGAGTTATATAGGTCCGTCTATCTGAGAAGTATGGGTAAAAACCCAGAGTAGTGTGGGTCCGTTGGACTGAGAAGTATAGACAAAAAGCATGAGTAGTATGGGTCCGTTGATCAGGACTTATTGAAGAAACAGTTTAAGATCAGTTTCAATTTATGGTAATAAAAGTACAAATCAGACATATTGGCACTCATACCACATCTTCTTATATTTATATAATATTTCATATTGAAATACAAATATTACCTAATTATAAAGGTTTATATTATTAATTTGTATTTTTTGACTAATTTGATTCGTTCAACAATAGTCACATGTTAAACTATATTTTCAAAAGTCGAATGAAAACGGCGGATAGAAAAGTGATATTGCACGGTTATTTTTAGAATATCTAAAAACCGATATACTTTGTGACTTCATCTAATGAATGTCATGATATTGTTAAAAGTTTATATTTATGAACGATTACTTGAAAAAAAATCTTCAAACACATAAGATGAACACAAAAAACATAAAACATTATATTTGACATAACAACTAATATGTTGTTTTTGTCAAAGAGACAATATGATATCTATAAAATTCCAACAAAATTACATGATCAAAAAAGATGATTGTATAATGCAGTGACGATTTTGATACAAATATGGTCAGTAATTAATAATATAACAATTAATTTATAGCCTTTGTATGAGGTCAATACAGGATATATCTACCTAAAGAAGTATATTGACCTCGGAATTCGTGCTCAGTCAATATACTTTTTCAGGTCAATATATCCTTGTATCGACCTCATACAAAGGCTATATTTTATAATATTATTAATTCATATATTCTCGGGAGCTCCGGAATGGTAAGCAGATCCTGCTCCACATGTGTCACCCGTCGTGTTGCTCATATGCTAGTACAAATCAGGTAATAAGTCTAATTCGGTAGGTCACATTCAGGAAAATAATTTATGTCTAGGCCACATGACTGGATCATTCAAATTGTATAACCAATGGTACATTTGCGTGTACAATGAATAAGGAAGTTATGTTTAATTCTTTGTTAGATGGACCTTTAAATAGATTTACCTTTGTTAGCTGTCCATTGAAAGAGCACTGATAGCTATGACAAATCATTTACGGGGCGATAAACAAAGACGATTGAAAAACCTGTAAGACTTGTTCATAAGTTTATTTTAAACTAGTAAATATGTGCATCTTACAAGGCTTAGCAAGTTTGTATTATGAAGTCCAGCTTTTCTATTTAGTTTACTATGAATTGAATTAAAAAACTTGGTAATATAGTAACTTGAAAAGTTGTCTTCTTATATTTCAGAATGAGGTCCTCAAAGGGGGCATATATACGCAAAACATATGATATCTTTCACCAGTGGCAGATCCAAAACTTTCATAAAGGGAGGAAGATACGGAGGAGTATATTAAAAAAGTAGGCTGTCAAAATTTTTAAAAAAAGAACTATAAAAACATATTTTTCAACATAAGATGCATCCCTGATATGCCCCGCCCATGTTCACGAAAATCTACAATATTATTTTCTTCTGCTAAAGGTCATTTAATGTAACATACAAATATAGATTTTACGATACTACTGTCTGAATAATGAAAAGTAAAATAACAAAAATACCGAACTCCATGGAAAATTCAAATCGGAAAGTCCCTTATCACTGAATGGCAAAATCAAAAGCTCAAACCCATCAAACAAATGGAAAACAACTGTCATTTTATATATAGTATACATATATATATTTAACAGAACTAACTAAAATTACCTTTTTGGTTAAAAAGAATTTCCATTTTCGTTTCCTTTATAAACATTACCGATTGTCGACAAGTCATTTCTACATACGGGTATCTAGTATGTAATACAATACCAATCAATGCAATGCAATATATGTTTATTGAACCGATAATAAAAGATCAACTTTAATAGAGTTTTGTACGAAAAAGTATTAGCGCCATGCAAATTTTTTTGTGTTTCTTCCTATGTTAGCGTTATAACGTGAACCTTTGCGAAATAACACAAACATTTGAGTCATCTTATTTCTTATTTAAATTTCAAGGGAAGGAGTTGTTAAGAATGGAGGGAGCAGTGGGAGGAAGCTGCATGCATTAATTTTGATCACTCTTTTAACTTATCTCAAAGTGAAAGGCTGGAGTGTTAAGCACATAATCATGGCATAATAATGAGAGAATAAAGAAAACTGAGTAAATTGAAGTTGTATCGAAAAAAAATTGAAAACCTATTATTC